ATCCATCCATCCATCCATCCATCCATCCATCCATCCATCCATCCATCCATCCATCTATCTATCTATCTATCTATCCATCCAACTATCTATCTATCTATCTATCTATCTATCTATCTATCTATCTATCTATCTATCTATCTATCTATCTACCTATCTACCTATCTATCTACCTATCTATGTCTGAGGTTGAAGAAAAGATTGGGCATTTATTTATCCAGGATGGTTTACAATCTCCTTTCTTGGGGATTGGAGTAGAAGACTTCCAAGGTCCCTTCCAGCTCTGTTCTAATACAGCTTCCACTGTTGATTTTCCATTTCACAAATTTCAGTCATTTCTATCATCACAAAATTATTCCAAAATCAAAATTTCTTGTTTTTCAAGGGGGTCAGATGTGAGAAATAAATTTTGGAGGTATCCCAAATCAGTCTGGGTGGTGACCAAGTCCAACCATACCAATGTCTGCTTTCCCTGCCCTTATTTCTTCATAAATTTGGGTTTTCTTGACAGCTAAGCACCCCGTTGTCACTTGTGTTGAACGTAAAGCTGCCAGGAAATGTCTTTGGTGCATTGTGTTAAACAAACCCCAAACCACAATAAAAGTAGCTGCTAAAATTGGATTTGTTGGTTTTCAGACTTGGTTTTTGTGGTTTCACACAAACACACACCTTTTCTTAGGTTTCTTTAGTGTGGTCCACATTTTTCTTGATGGGAATCTCAATTTTCCTTTGTTTGAATTATATATTAGATTTTGAACCTGCCTTTATTACTTTATCAGCAATACAAGGCAGCAAAAATACTTAATCTTTCTATTTTCCTCACAAGAATAACAACCCTGTGAGGTTGGGTTGGGCTGAGGGACTAGCCCATAGTCATCCAGCTGGCTTTCATCCCTAAGGGGGAACAAGAACTCCCAGTCTCCCAGTGATTGCCCCCCAAATCAGCCAGTCGGTTTTCATGCCTAAGGTGAGACTAGAACTCACCATCTTCTAATGATTGGCCCAAAGTCACTTACCTGATTTTCATGCCTAAGGCAAGACTAGAACTCACCATCACCTAGTGATTGACTCAAACAGGTGGTTTCACGGCTAAGTCAGCACTAGAACTCACTGTCTCCTGGCGATTGGCCCAAAGTCAACCAGTCGGTTTTCATGCCTAGGGTGGGACTAGAACTCCCAGCATCCCAGTGATTGGCTCCCAAATCAGCCAGTCGGGTTTCATGACTAGAATAGGACTAGAACTCACCAACTCCTAATGATTGGCCCAAAGTCACCTACCTGACTTTCGTGCCTAAAGCAAGACTAGAACCCACCATCCCCTAGTGATTGACCCAAAGTCAAACAGGTGGTTTCATGACTATGTCAGGACTAGAACTCACCAACTCCTAGTGATTGACCCAAACTCACCTACCTCTTTCATGCCTAAGGCAAGACTAGATCTCATACTCTCCATATCCAAAATTAAGGCCACAATACTACTAGTAGTAAAAGTTCTTTTTTTTAAATCACCCAGCCCCTTAGTAATTCCAATGGGATTTATTTAAACTAGGATAATGCAAGTTGCTAGCCCTCAAGAGGCTAACGGTAGGAATTTAAAGTTACCGTAACTTCCTCAACCAGAGCTTTCCAAATGTCCTGGGACATCGAGACCCAGTGATCCCAGCCAGCTTGGAGGGGGCCTAGCCCATCTGGATTGCACCGAAGTCATCATCCTCTTTTAACAACCCCATAATCCCATGGGGGGTAGAGTCTGGGTAACTGAATGGCGCTGAGTGTTTACTGGCCGGGTGCCCTTCCTGTAGCCAGGGCTGAGTTTTATTCAGCAGATACATTCTCAGTGTGTCCAGAGAAATATCCGCCTCTGCCTAGGATCGAACTCACAGCCTCCTGATTGTGAGGCGAGAGCTCCCCCTCTAGGCCACCGCACCACTCTTCATTGCACCACTGGCGACTTTTTTCCCCTCCCAGAGCATCAGCCATTCGTTCAGCCTGAGCGGAGACAAGCCACGAAACAGCAAGGATATCGCCCGCATCACGTTCGATGTTTACAAGCTGAACCCGCGAGACCTTTTTGGCAGCCTAAACATCTCGGCCACCTTCTACGGGCTCTACTCGATGAGTTGCGACTTCAAATGCCTGGGACCCAAGAAGGTTTTGCGGTGAGCTTGGTTCCTTGCCCTCCCGGGGAGAAAACCCAGAGGGAAGTTTGAAGATAGCCCAAGAGCTTTCCCGAAGTCACCCAGCCAGCTTTCATGGCTAAGGCGGGACTAGAACTCACTGTCTCCTGGTGATTGTTCCAATTCACATAAAAGGTTGGAAAAATCTTTGTGTGGAAATGTGAGAGAAGAGAAACTCGGTGTTAAGAGAAACGCTTCAGTTATTATAGTGATAAACCACTTAGTCTCCAGTCAATGCTTCCACTCATTTGAGGTGGTCCTCACGTTATGACCACAATGGAGCCCAAACTTTGTTAAGCGAGTTTTGCCCCATTTTGTGACTTTTCTCGCCACGTTTGTGAAGTGAAACACTGCGCGTTACTAAGTTAGTAACACGGTTGCTAAGTGAATCTGGCTTCCCCGTGGACTTTGCTGGTCAGGAGGTCCCAAAAGGGGATCACGTGACCCTGGGACACTTCAGACATTGTAAGTATGAGTCAGTTGCCAAGTAGATGGATCACATGACCCTGGGCCTGCAACGGTCATTGGAAAAACGGCCATAAGTCACTTTTTTCAGTGCTGTTGTAACTTTGAACAGTCACTAAATGAAGTGTTAATATGTTTGTTTTTATTTATTTGACTTTTAGCCAACCTTATCATTTATGAATAATTTAAGACTGTAAACATTCCCGATATTCCTTCCTCCTATTTTCCCCACAACAATCCTGTGAGGTGGGTTGGGCTGCGAAAGAGGGGCTGGACCAATCACCCAGCCAGCTTTCATGCTTAAGGCGGGACTAGAACTCACTGTCTCCCAGTGATTGGCCCAAAGTCACCCAGCTGGCTTTCATGGCTAAGGCGGGACTAGAACTCAGTCTCCCGGTGATTGTCCCAAAGTCACCCAGCCAGCTTTCATATCTAAGGCAGGACTTGAACTCACTGTCTCCCCGTGATTGGCCCAATACCCAGCCAGCTTCCATATCTAAGGTGGGACTAGAACTCACCATGTCCTGGTGATTGGCCCAGTCACCTAACCGGCTTTCATGTCTTTCTTGTCCCACTTATCAACAGAAACCTGGGGCTCCATCGAGGTCATAAATCAAGGGCTAACTGTACCAGCTGTTTGTGAATTCTTTTGACGGAAATCCTCTTTTTCTTTCTTTCCCGCAGGGAGATCCTGAGGGTGGCATCCGCCATCATGCACGGGGTCGGGCACATTCTTTTGGGGGCATCCAACTACATCCGCCGGTTCCTGGACACGGGGGACAACTGGGGCCCCCAAGTCCAGATAACCAACTATCGATATTGAGGCCTCCTTCCCTGCAAAACGCAAGAGATCCTTCTAGCTTCAAACTGATCTCAAGGGAACCCACTTGATTCGCGAGTCAAGATTTAAAGGACGTTTAAACCAAGGATAGACGTTCTTATCTGCAGCTTTCTGTCCCTTTTCGTTTCCAGGCTGGCCAACAGGGTGCAGAATACGAGCGCTTCAGAATCTCCTCAGAAAAGATGCCTTTTTATCCCTGGCAGTACAGTCACGATAAACCACCTTCGTGACAAGAGGGGAACCTGGCTTGACAAAGCCGGCCTACTGACCCATACCCAGCAGTGTGGGGCTCTAATCGGCATGCTGAAAACATAAATCTTTTGCTTGCAAAGGTTGGGCCGTAGATCCTCCAGCTCAGCTACCACTCTACCTGCATTTAACTGGGAAAGCAGGAGGTACAGGTGTCCCTCAACTTACGACCATTCGCTTAGTGACCAATTAATACTTCTACAATTAGTTCAATGAACAAGTCAAAACTCACAACTTTTCATTTAGTGTCAAACTACAATGGCACTGCGGAAGAAAATCTGACTTTTTTAAAAAAAAAAATATTGGTTTTTAAAAACAAACATAAACAAACAAAACATAAAAACACCAAGCTATCTTCCATATGTGTATATACAGTGTGCCGGTTGGTTTACAAATTGTTTTGTGCTTCCATTTCGTAGTCTTCAATTACAATTACATTACATATAATCTCATTGTCAATCAAAAATTAAATACTTTAGTATCATTATTAATCAATCATTTGACTATACTTTTATTCATTCATGTTTTACAAGATAACCATAATTTACTTAATTTATTTTATAACAGTTCATATTATCACCCCAAATCTATCCTAAAATCATTTTGTAGTTATAATAAAGAAGTACATCTTTATATATTTATTATTTTCTAAAAATCTACATATTTCATTACTGTACTTTGTGGTCTAGTCATTGATAGAAAAGATCCCAAATTTTATAAAATTGTTTATCCTCTTGTCCTCTAATTTCAAATGTCAATCTACTCATTTCAGCACATTCCAATATTTTCTTAATGATTTCCTCCTGTGATGGTATTTTCTCATTTTTCCAGTTTTTAGCAAATACAATCCTAGCCGCTGTTAATACATTTACAATCAGGTATTTCAAGTCTTTTCTATAAATTTCAGGTAAAATTCCCAATAAAAATATCTCTGGTTTCAAGTCTATATGTTTTTTCGTCATTTTTTCCAACCACATGTGGATTTTAGTCCAGTATTTTTTAGCATCCGCACAAGTCCACCACATATGGTAATATGAGCCAGGTGTCTGATGACATTTCCAACATTTTTCAGATTTATTCTTGAACATTCTTGCTATTCTTGTGGGGGGGAAATGCCACCTGTAAAACATCTTATACAAATTTTCTTTATATGTTGTTGACATTGTCATTTTATAATTTTGAGACCAAAATTTTTGCTATTTCTCTAAATCGACCCCATATCCAAAATTCTTCCCCCAAGCAATCACAGTTTCTTTAACTTGTTCTTCTTCTAGTTTAATTTCTAATAGATATCCATACAATTTTTTAATCACCTTTTCATCAGTACCTGTCAAAATCTTATCTAAGTCAGTCAGTTTATCATAGAAGCCTTCTGTTTTAGAATCTTTATCATACCTTGAATGTATTTGCGCGTATGAAAACCAATTCAACTTTATACCTTGTTCCTCTAGTTTTTGCATAGATTTAAGTTCAGCCTTGTCATTCAGTATTTCACTATATCTAACTTTTTGCATATTATAGGATACAATAGTCAATAACCAGATTGGAATTTTCAAATAACATTGTCTTTTCATCTTCTCCCAGTTTAACCAGAGACTCCCCTATATAATGTCTTCTAAAATACCCGTGTTTTAGTTCCTTTGTACCATAAAAAAGCATGCTACCCCAACAACAAATCATGTCCTTCTAATGTCAACAATCTAGCATATCTTCGTGTTATCCATTCCTTAACCCACATCAGATTTGTAGCTTGGTAGTACAATTCCCAATTAGGCAAACCAAATCCTCCTCTAATTCTAGCATCTTGCAAAAGTTTTAACTTTATTCTCACTTTCTTACCTTGCCATATATATTTCAAGACAATTTTATTTAAATCTTCAAAGTAGTCTTTTCCAAGCCTAATTGGAATTGTTTGAAACAAATATAAAATTCTGGGTAATATATTCATCTTGATTGTTGAGATTCTCCCTATTAGTGAGAGTTGTAAATTTTCCCATTTCGCCAAATCTAGCGCTAGCTGCTGTTTAAGTTTAATATAATTATTCCCTTTTAATGTACTACATCTTGCTGTCAAATATATCCCCAAGTACTTAATCTTATTAGTGACTTGAATTTTCAATAGGTCTGCCAGTTTTTCCTTTTGTCTTAATAGCATATTCTTTGTCGAAATCTTTGTCTTATCTTTATTTATTTTCAAACCAGCCACCTTTCCATATGTCTCTATCTTTTCTATCAATTTTGATGCTGTTTCTAAAGGGTCTTCTAAAATAAAAACCAGATCATCCACAAATGCTTGCAGCTTAAATTCTTCCTTTTTGATTTTCATTCCTTTTATATTCTTTTCATCTCTAATATTTCTGTTTAGCACTTCCAAAGTTAACACAACAAAGGTGATAGTGGGCACCCTTGTCTTGTTCCTTTTCTTATATTAATAGAGTCTGTCAGCTCTCCCTCTATCATTACCTTTGACGTTTGCTTATAGTATATAGCTTCTATTGCTTGAATAAATTTTCTAGCAAAACCCATCTGTTCCAACTGTAATAACACGAATCGCCAATTCACATTATTATTCAATGCCTTCTGTGCATCTAGAAATATCAGAGCCATTTGTTTTTCAGGATGTGCCTCATAGTATTCCAAGGTGTCCAAGATTACTCTCATATTGTCTTTAATTTGTCTTTTTGGCAGAAATCCATTTGGATCAGGATGGATAAAATTATTTAAATATTTTTTAAGTCTTTCTGCCAATATTAAAGCAAAGATTTTGTAATCTGCGTTTAGTAAAGAAATGGGTCTATAGTTCTTAATTTGTAATGGGTCGGCCTCCTCTTTAGGAATAAGTGTACTATAGGATTCTGACCATGATTTAGGTATCTTCTTCTTTAACATAACTTCATTCATAACTTCTAGCAATGGAAGATTCAACAATTCTTGTAATGTTTTATAAAATTCTGCCGGAAGTCCATCTGGGCCTGGTACCTTTCCATTATTTTGCTTCTTGAGTGCTTCAGTTAACTCCATCATCATGTTGCTTTCTAACATTTTTTCAGTCTCTTTTGGTATCTGAGGTAAATTAGCATTCTGTAAGTACTGCTTGACTCTTTCTTCATCAATATTCTCTTGCATATATAATTTACCATAGAAGTCTCGAATGATTTCCTTCTTCTCTTTGCTACCATGGCAAACTTGGCCTTGGTCATCTATTAATTGCAATATTTTCCTTGATTCTTTCTCCTTTCTCAATTTGTATGCTAACCATCTACCTAGTTTGTTTGCATCTTCAAAGTAGTTCTGTTTAGCACCTCTAATTTTCTGTGCTAATTCTTCTTTTTCTATTTGACCCATTTTGTGTTTAATTATATCCATTTTTAGCTTGATGTCCTTTTTCTGTGGCATTTTCTGTAGCTCTTTTTCAAATCTTTTATGCTCATCCTCTAGGGCTTTAGAGGCTAGGCTTTTCATAGTATTCCTTTTCCTTGTATAGTCTATTATCAAGCCTCTAGCATATGCCTTCATTGTGTCCCACACATTCTGAATTGATGTATCTTTACTTTTTCTAAAGAAAAAGGCCAATTCTTTCTCCATCCACTGTGTGATGTCTTTTTCCTTTAAAATAGTATTATTTAACATCCATCTAGATCTTTTTTGTCCTTTCCATTTAATTGTCATTGGATTGTGATCTGCCCAAGTACTTGTTTCAATATTTATTTCTTGAATGTTAGATATTAATTCTGTTGACATCCATATCATACCTATTCTGGACCATGGTAAGTGTCTATTTGAATAGAAGGTGTATTGTTTAGTTTTAGCATTTCTTTCTTTCCATGTATCTTTTAAGTTTATTTCATCTACCATTTTAAAAAAATAATTTAGGGAGTCTTTCTGTTTTGCTTTGTTGTTTTCTGTGCTGTATAGTCCAATTTGTTGTCTACAATTCCATTAAAATCTCCCATCATAACTATATTAGCATAGTCCAATTCAATTATTTTCATATGTAGTTTTTGTAGAATTCTTCTTGTTTGTCATTCGGAGCATATATTGCAATCAGGAGTATTTTCATATTATTGTCCATTATTTCCACCATTAGTATTCTTCCATCATCATCAATATAGATCAATTTTGCTGGGGTGGTCTCTTTAATATATAAAACCACTCCTCTTTTCTTACATTGGGTCAAAGAAGTAAATATTTGCCCTAATTTGGGCTGTACCAACAATTGTTCATATTGTTTTTTAATATGTACTTATTGTAGACAGATTATATCAAATCTTAATTTCTCCAATTTATGAAAGGTTTTCCTTCTTTTAACGGTTGAGTTAAGTTCATTTATATTAATTGTAATCATTTTTTTCTCTTCCATGGTTATATTTTATAGTTAGGTTTAGCAACTCTTGTAGATCTTGAATTTCAAGAGGACTGCCAAATGGTGACTGAAAAAGAAGGCGCAGTAAGTGGAAAGGTGGAAGCCAAAGAACAACGAAAAATTCTGACTTATGACCAGGTCTTGTATTTATGACCGTTGCGGCATCCCCCAGTCACGAAATCAAAATCCAGGCCCTTGTACAACTAGTAGTCCTCAACTTACGACCACAATTGAGCCCCAAATGTATGTTGCTAAGGGAGTTTTGTCTCGTTTTACGGCTTCCCTTTGTCACATTTGTGAAAAGAATGGCCAGTTGTGAAATTGGTCGTTAAGTGAATCAGGTTTTTCCTGTTGACTTTGCCAGTCAGAAGGCTGCAAAAGGGGATCACAGGTCACTGCGACCGTCGTAAATATAAGTCAGCTGTCAAGCATCCGAATGTAAATCACAGGACCATCAGGATGGTACAATGGTCTTAAGTGTGAAAAATGGTCACTTTTTTTTTTAATGCTGTTGTTAACATCGAATGGACACTAGGCGAAGTCAAGGATAAGTCAGGGACTATCTGCATTTATGATGGTTGCAGTGTTCCGGAGATCACGTGATCCCCAGCTGCAACCTTCCAACAATGGGGAAACTGGATTCGCTTAATGACCACATGCTTCATTCAACAGCAGTGATTCCCTTAACAACCGGAGGCCCCCCAAAATAAAAGGCGGTAAAATCAGTCATGACTCATTTAATGACCGCCTTCTTAGCAAGAGAAATTTCAGCCCACAAATTACGGTCGTAAAGCGGTGTGGGGGGCTTGTAATACCTGTATTACAAGCCCCCCCACACACACACGCAGTGCCCCTTATTCCTGCTGGCCAATCTTTGGTTCGCTGATAATGGCTTCTACTCCAACTTCCTGCTTAAGACTTGCGGATTTCGACTCCCAGA